GCTACTGACTTTAGTAGATGATGGACACATTCGGCTGCATTTCTTGTGGTAACATATATGAGGATATTTTCCCATAATACTCTTTTTAAAACTAAAGACAATACACAGACATTAAGGAGAAGTTAGAGTTCCTAAATCCAGCCTTATATATCGTACTGATACTGTATATTTCAATCTATCTTAGTATCTTCACATTTGTACTATGAATTAATATGTGAAAGAGGGACGTGGAGCTTCTCAAGAGGGTCCAGAGAAGAGCAACTAAGATGATTAAGGGACTGGAACATCTCTCGTATGAGGAGAGACTGAGTGAGCTGGGCCTGTTTAGCCTGGGGAAGGGAAGGCTGAGAGGGGATATGATTAACTGTGTATAAGTTCAGGAAGGGAGAATGCAGGGAGGAAGGGAACAAGCTCTTTTCATTGATGGCCAGCGATAGGACGAGGGGTAATGGCCATAAGCTGGAGCACAGGCAGTTCCATCTCCATGTGAGGAGGAACTTCTTTACTGTGAGGGTGACAGAGCCCTGGCACAGGCTGCCCAGGGAGGTTGTGGAGTCTCCTTCTCTGGAGGTCTTCAAAACCCGCCTGGATGCCGCCCTGTGCCACATGCTCTAGGTGTGCCTGCTGGAGCAGGAAGGTTGGACTAGATGATCTCTAGAGGTCCCTTCCAACCTTGAATATTCCGTGATTTTGTGAGTCTGTGAAAGAGATTTATAAGGACTAGGTCCTTATAAGGACCACATGGACTGCTAAAGGCAAGTGCTAGTCCCTGCAGGAGATACTCCACTGAAAAAGAAGAACTAGAATCCTGGCAAATTCTCAAATGTGCCTAAAGTAGGAAGTCATTATTGTTGATTCTGGTTCGTATAACCACAGTATTTCTGAGATTTCTCATAACGGCATGGCTCTTAAGGCTCCCATTTCATAGATAAAGTTAGAGAGATTGAAAATTTTGTAAAATTCTAATGGACACTGGGAATCCATCAGGCCTCAGCAACTTGGAATGAATTCAGATTTAAGTGACTGCATCAACACTTGGTCAAAATCTAATACAGTTTTTTGGGCTTTCAAGTCTTTCATTGAAACGCCACTTACGGAGAAGTAGCTTAAGAGCAACCCAAAACTTAAGGACTTCTCAATAAAACAAAACCAGGAAAAGACTGGGGCATGGACCTTAGTGCTGTAGTATAGCACTACAGCCTCATTTCTTTACAATAGAAATGAGTATTCGAGTGACTTGCCCATATAATGCGCCCAAGAAAAAAGTCAGATTGCATTAATAAGACACCTTGCCTTTAATCTCTCTATTGTATTAAAAAGAGTATTTGACAATGGCTTTATTGAATGACTAGATTCACATCACAAATTCAATTAATAAAAATAAAATATTGTTTGCTCTTCCAAGAAGTTGGAAGAGCAACTTGATCCTTGATCACTTAAGATCAAGAATGCAGTGTCGTATGTGATCAAAATATGGTAAAAGTTACCTTTTAGTTAAGAAAAGCTAAAGAGAAAAAACATTAAAAACTTGAAACTAAGTGCCCTTTCCTGCATGATTCCTAAAGGACCTTCTCTAATAAGACCAAAAATGTACCTACCAAGACAAGAAACCACAGGAAAAAAATATCAAATAAAAAGCAGATCTTTTCCATAGTTTGGAGAAAGGCATTTTTGTCATTCAGCATCAATTATGCAAAGAGAACTATTGTCTCTATGAACAGGTTGATATTTCAAAATAAGATGATAAATATTATCTGCTGAAGATATGAGAAAAGCGTCATTCTATTTGACATATTAAAACCCAATCTGGACAAAAAAGTGAACAATAAGGTCACGGGGCTTGCTGTTGTTTAAGGTGGTAAAGACAACAGCTGATTATGAAACATTGACGAGGGAGTTCATTATATGATGTGGCAGAGTGAAAAAATTCATTGTTGATAAATGTAAAAAAATCCATAAGCCTTTCTTCATATACACAGTGATGGACCTTGAAGTGTTAGTACCATTTTAAAACAGTATCTTGACATTACAGCTGAGCATTCCATGGTGATTTTATAGATCAGGGGTCAAGTAACTGAACAGAAAATTATTAAGAATAAAAAAAAAAAAAAGACCCAAAATACATAGGATTGAATGCTGATCAAGAGCATAGAGAAAGTATTGCTGCATGTTTGCTCTACTCTCGTATTTTCTTACCAGGCCTTCAGTAGTGGCCAGCTACTGACAGAAACAAGATACTGGTACACACAGACATTTGGTCTGAACACTACAACATCTGTTGTTTTCTTGACTCTACAATTGCAGGAGTTTTTTCTCTACAAAAAATGAGTTCAGGGGTACTTCTGCCATGTTGCGTGAGTATTGCACATAAATTTTCTTGTATCTCATAACAAATATCAAGTCCATTCTGAATTTCCATGAAATCACAAGTACCTAACTTTATAAATCAATCTGAGTCAAACTCAATAAAATTCTACACTAGCTATGCTAAAGCAGCTCTAAAGTTTCCCCAAACCCAGAAACATTGGCACTGTGGGCAGTTCGTTTAATGACTGTGCAAAACCCTTAGATGTGCTGCAGCAATGCTCTGACTTTCTCCTGCCACAGGAATGATTCACAGAGCAAAAGAAGTCCAGTTCTCATGTTCAAGAATACTTATCCAGACGGAGTAAAGAAAAGGAGTTGCCCATAACTTGCAAAGTATGACAGAAATAGCAAATGGTCTCCATTTACCTCAGGGTTTAGATTAAGAGCTACAGCCAAGTAACAAATGAAGAGGCATCCCTACGTGCAACCCAAGGGGACTGGCTTCACAGTGCTTTCACTTTTTCCTTCCCTCTCTCTCTGTTTTTCTTAATAAGAAATAATAGATTTCTTTTTTTCTGTTAGAAATCCAGCACACTTTTCTTTCAAGGTTGAAAAGAATCACAATTAATGAAGATGTCATATCCAAGCAACACAGTTTGAGGCCTACAAAAATACCCTTCAAAATTAAGTGTAATCACAGTAATATCCTAATCTTTCCAAAGAAAGGTAAGACAATACAGCTTAGTTCCACTTAGTTTCAGAAGTAAATATTGTCATCGCAGCTCTGTGATTACGCAGTACTTTTGCAAGAGAAATAAGGACTCCATTAGGAGTGACAACTGTTTTCTCAGGAAGAGCAGTTCACTGCTAAGTTTTTCAGTCCTGTCAGAATATCATGATACTTACTCTTTTCCAAAGATGTACACATGCTGATGTCAAGATGTGTTCCAAAACAATCCAGAGCCTGCAAATGATTTCACAGGGACAAAATACTAGTCACTAGTCACTAGACTACCTATAGTTGTTCTAGCATGGGACTGGCAGTCATCTTACCTTTCCAATGTGAATGGAAGGGGTGATTGGGAAAGATTGAGTTGAACTACAATCTAGCGGTAAACTACTGATCTACTGTAGCCTTTCTAGAAAATAAATTCTGGAGACATAGTATGAAAGGTATTTTAATGTTAGTATCTTACAAAACAACGTTTAGAAATGTTTCATAAGCTCCACAGAAGTTCTGATTCTATTAACATTTTTATTGAGCAGCATTTACTCATTTTGATTTCCTTCTTCTCTTGTCCTCATTTTTAAATAGGATTTAAATAATTATTGATACTGAGATCTGTTTAAGAATTTTTCTTAGGCTGCCCGTCACACACTCTTAAAGTAATAGTGATGAATGACAAGAGTCTATATCCCTTCTTTTGTCACTTCAATCACCACAGCAGCTATGCAGCATCTCAAAAAGTCAAGAAAATAATTTGCAAGATTTGTTTCTATTAAGAAAATAACTCATTTTTTAATATATTTTAAGAAAACAGAAATATTTACTACTTTTTTTTCCTTTATTTTTCCAAAAGGGTTTTAGACATTCATGCCAGTTTTTCCTCTATTCCATCTAGGTTCTTGGTTTACTATATTATTTTCTTTCTGGAGATCACTGATGTGACTTTTAGGAAGGAAAGACACCATTCTTCTCCCATGAGAAGAAATTTAGCCTCCGATCCCATAAACACATATATACTTCAAGCTGAACAAAATATATGCTCCTGCCTTGGCAGCCTTAGAGATAGATGACTAAGGAAAGATGCATGTCTTTCATGGGCAGATACTGAATCTCTTCTGTACTGCAAAATACACTTAAGTAAATAATGTTTTATTGGTGTATATTTTAAGCTCTGATATTAATTATGTCAAAGCACCAAATCTGATAATCAAATTATCACTAAGTGGATTCTGACTATAAAATTCTGAGAGATGTGTTCATCTTTTTTGCACATAGTTGTGTGCTGACACTAAAATAAGAAGACTAACTCTAGGCTTTTGAAAAAGCCCAAACCCCAATTAACCAATGCTTACATTTACATTTACCTCCTATCTACTGACCCATGTAAATTTGGCAACTTGTCCTCTCATTAATTTGCACTCAGTACTCAGACAAATATCTGATCTGATCTGATATGAACTGTGGAGAAGTGAATGGAAAGAATATGGAGTGATATGAAATTTTAAAAATACGTATTTTTCATGATTTACTGATACTCCTTTCATATGAGACAATGTTAACAAGCTAGTTATGCTGTAATGAAAACTAATGTATTACCATAAGAAAAGTGATTCAAAGGCAAAGATTACAGAGCTCCAGTGCATAGTTTGTTATGAGCATGAAATTATGATTTGAGGCAAACACGTTTTACTTCAGCAATTATTTTTAAATCTCTAAGTGTTGTACACATTTATACAGTCTAAAGATGACTGTATAAATGACTATATCAACATTTTATATCATTTTTATCTCATAGATTTTCCCTCAATATAAATATTTTCTCTAGTCCTTTTGAAGAAAGTGGCACTTGAGGCATGTGCATAATAATACATTTTGATGGTATTTTAAAATAACTTTTCATGTAATAAAAATCAACCTAAAATAAAGCATCCTGAATGGGCTTAAAATGTATCTCCAGTAGTCTATGCTACTTCAGTGTCAAATAATGAGGTAACACATTGTTCCAAAATTGCTCTGAATTATGTAATCCATTAGCTACACGGTGTTTGGACTTCATTTTTTGTTTTGAGCTGTTTGGTACGGTAGAACTTGGTGTCTTCTTTGGCTTCTTGCTGTTTTGGCTTTTCTTTTGTGTAAGCTTATTACTATCAACTTGTTTTTTACGCTTTGATTTTTCCTCTTCCTCTTCTTCCTCTTCTCCCTTTTTCTCTTCTTCTTCTTCCTCTTCCTTTTCTTCTTCATCCTCCTTTTCCTCTTCTTCTTCTTCATCCTCCTTTTCCTCTTCTTCTTCCTCTCCCTCTTCTTTGTCTCTCTCTTCTTCTTCTTCGTCTCCCTCTTTCTCTTCTTCTCTCTCTTCCTCTTCTTCCTCATCCTCTCCCTCTTCTTCTTCCTCGTCTCCCTCTTCTTCCTCCTCTCCCTCTCCTGCTTCCTCCTCCTCTTCCTCTTCTTTCTCCTCTCCCTCTTCTTCCTCCTCTCCTTCTTCCTCCTCTCCCTCTTCTCCTTCCTCCTCCTCTTCCTCTTCTCCCTCTTCCCCTTCGTCCTCCTCTTCCTCTTCTCCCTCTTCCCCTTCGTCCTCCTCTTCGGCTTCTACCTCCTCTCCCCCTTTCCCTTCTTCCTCCACCTCTCTCTCTTCCCCTTCATCCTCCACTTCCTCTTCTCCTTCTGCTTCCTCTCCTTCCACTTGCCCATATTTTCCTTCTTTAACTTCCATCTTCTCTTCAGCCCTGTTTCCATCTTCTTCCCCCTCCAGCCCTTCTGTGTCTATCTCTATTCCTTCCTTTTTCTCCTCTGCTTCTTCTTCTCCTTCCTCTTCTATTTCATCCTGCCCATCTTCCTCTCTTTCTTCTTCCATTCCACTCTTCTGCACTTCCTCCTTTGCTTCATTTGCATCTTCCTTTTCCTCTTCTGATGCCTCTTCTTCTCTCCCTGCCAATGCTTCCTCTAGCTCTTCCTCTTCACCTGCTTTATCCTCTCTTTCTTCCTTTTCTTCTTCATTTTCCTTATCACCTTCTGTCTCCTGCTCAGCTCCTGCCTCTTTTCCTTCTTCCCTCTGTTTGTCTTCTCTTCCTTCCTCACTCTCATCCTCTGCTTCTTTTTCTTCCACCTGCTCTCTTTCCTCTCTTCCTTCCTCACTCTCATCCCTTCCTTCACTTCTAACCAGTTCCTCCTTTTCTTTTTCCATTTGTTCCTCTTCTGCATTCTCCTCCTCCTCCTCCAAATCCTCTTCTCCCTGATTCAGTATTTCTCCCTCCTTAAACCTGCCTTCCTCATCCCCTTGCTCCTTGCCATATCCTTCTTGGTGATTCTCTTCCACTTCTTCTGCATCCTCATTCTCACTCTGTCTTTCCACTTGTGATTCATCTCTCTCGTTTTCTTCCTCACTGTCTTTTTCCTTTTTATCTCCATCTCTTTCTTCTGAAATGTCTCTGTCCACATGTTTCTTATCTTCACTCTCGCCTTCTTCTTCTGAGTGTTCAATTTCATTGTCAACTTTTTCATCCAGTTTTTCTTTTTCACTTTCAGCCTTTCCACTGTCCTCACTCTCTTCCTCTTCATTAGTTTCCTCTTCATTCTTAACTTCAACCTGTCTGCCTTCATCAGATTTAACTTCAGAATTTGTTTCTTCCTCATTCAGGCTTTTTATATCAGTCTCTTCTGCATACTCTTTTTCATTGCTTGTGGCTGGCTTCTCTTCAGTCTCACTACCTTCTTCTTGTACATCCAAATCTTTCACATTCTGTACTGCTTTTGTTGCTTTCTGGGTATCTTTGCCCTCATAGTAGCCCTCTTTTTTACCTCTACTCTTAAGCACATATTTTGTACTTTCATTACTGCTTTCCTCACTTGAAGATGACGACTTAGTTACAGCTATTTGTTTTAAAAAATGATCCTTTTTCTTAAACTCACTCTGTTCTTCATTACTTTCTTTCTTTCTGACATGCATTCTTTCATATTTATCAGCTTTTCCAATTCCATCCTTTGTTTTGTTTTCACATTCTACCGCTTCTTTACTTCCTGGCCTTGTAACAGAACTGTGTTTTTGCACAACTAACGAGTGAGTTTGGGGCTGATCACTGCACACAGAAGGAAGTATGACTCTTTTAGGGGCATGCTTAGATTTTACAACTTTCGACTTTTTATTGGAAGAAATACCACTTTGTGCCTGGTCATATTTACCTTTCATATTTTTTTTGTCAGTCATGGGCTTCCCTACAAAGGCACTGCTTTTTTCTAAGTGTGTGTATTGCTCCAGTGACTCTGAAAGTGAAGGCTGCTTTCGTAAAGACCCAGAGTCAGCCTTTGAACCCTCCTGCATGAAATTGGGATCAACATTTTTCATCCCACCCTTACCATCTCTTTTCAGTTTCACATTTTTATTGTTCTTCTACTCCACATGAGAGGCAGGAAAATTAAAAAGAAAGAAGGAAAACATTAAGGACAACTTAAATGACAGCAAAACAAAAGACTACACAAACATTTGAACAAGAAAAGAAACAACTACTGCGATGGAACTAAAGGTGGAACGAGAGGTGGAATATTTCTAAAGAAATGAGATTAAATTTGTATGTATTAGAAAAATGAAAATATGGTTTGTAGTAAAGGTACAACTCCTTTTTTAACGGTCAAAGCCCTCTGTGTGAATGGGAGAACTATAAAGCTACTGTCACATCTCTCAAACTACAACACATGCAAGGCGTGAGGCAGTGCCAATAGAAGGAAAGAGCTATAGCTCTCTTAAACCTTCCTCCATCTTTTCCCTAGGGAAGCCTTCTGATGCATTCAGTGCTCGGCTATTTACAATAAGCTTAAAATTCTCTTGTCCTTCTGCTTTAAATTTTGCCCTTATTGAATATGCTCATCTACATATCATTTTTAAATACAAAATTAAATACTTATGAAATATACCAAGGCATTGAACTGTGGGTATCATGACAGAAGTGAAATAGGGTGGAATAGAAAAGAAGGGTAATATGTAAAGATAAACAAATAAAGCTAACTAACTAAAGCTAAAGAAAACCTCTACTTATACTGTAAATGTCCCAGGAATCAATTAAGATGTTTTCATATCCACAAAATAATAGAACAAATTGTTGCCAGAATAAATTTAAAGTTGTGCTCTATAGTCTCCTGTTGCTTAAATGAGGGGAACACTGTAGAGTCTCATCTCAAACTGTGCTGGACATGTGCCCACACAAATTCCCTCTAAATTCACTCAGCTACATAGAGTTTTGCCTTGTGGATCTATATTGAGAATATGAACAAGGGAAGGTGTATAAAATTTGCATGGCTTTTTAAAAACTCACAGTAAAACAATAAAGAACAAGGATAATACAAGAGTTGTAGATTATTTTAAACTTGAGCATACATATAGGTAATTAGTTACAGTACCTTTTGTTTTTGGATTGGTGATAATTTTAAGGTCTGGTCACTGGGATTCAATTTCATCACGTGTGTCTGTAAAAAAATGAGAAGACTAGTAAAACATTACCTATAATAATGAGGGGTTACATAATACTAACATCATATTTACACTTTCGAAATACTTTTTATTGTAGAACCTTGAAATATTTTTCAAACTACTTGCTTTCCAATAAAGTACTAGTTAAGTTAGCATAAGCTACAGTTTCCATGAAGAAACTTGAATCTGCACATCATTTCAAATAAAAAGCTTCAGGATAACATTCTAAGTTTCATGTGTATCTTCATCAATCTCATTCAGAAAGGAAGACAGCTGAAAGACGGTCTAAAAATTAGGTTTCTAACTGTGGTAGGAACTTAGCACACCACTCTCTTTTGCCTATAAGCTTCTGCTTTTAAAACTCCTGACCTAGAGGTTAAACTACTGACTTCACATTTACTGTTCACTGAGGTGGTTAGTGAGTTGCTCTTCTCTGAGCACAGGAGGTAAAAGAAGGCCCGAATGGAAGAAAACATGCAGAGCACCAGCTCCCACCAGAGACAGGGAGAGAAATCTAGCATATATAGTGTGGATATATTATAAACATATGCCTCAGGAAATTAATGAAGGCTGCTTTGCGTATTTCTTGTCTCTAAGTAAACTAAGACAAAATTTTAAAATGTTAAATGAATAGTAAATGAATCGGCAACCTGATGGTTAAATTATGAAGTACCACTGCCACCCAAAGTAATAATGCCTGTAAAATATTCCATCCATTTCCATCCATTTAGTATAACTGACAAGATATCCTGAGCTGGGTCCACAGAGAGTTAAATAATTGTTTACATCCTACTGGACTGGAAAAAAAAATAAAAGAAAAAAAATAAAAAACACACTTTCCACTACACTGGTTTAGTCAGGACATACCCTGTCTGCAAAGAGAAGACAAGGTTTTGTAGAAGTGAAAATATGACAAGGGGAACATATGTTTTAAATGAAAGAAATACATGAGAAGCTGCTTGAGGACCACCAAATAATCAAACTAATCAAAATTTTCATCTCTCATTTAATATAATGCACCTGCATGAAAAGAACTCTGCTGGAAACAGAAACACAGACAGTGCTCTGTTTCTTTTCCTGCAGTACTCCTCCTTCTTGTAAATAATCAGGAAGGGCAATGTTAGTGATCATGATGCAGCATCCAGCCCCTTCTAATTTCCTTCCTAATGTCCAGGCCTAAAGCCTGGAGAGGGGTTGCATTGACTGGACTGCCTCAATCTCACATTGCAATATTACCTGGAAAATGAAAACAAACTTCAGCATTGGATAATGATGATATAAAACAGATGTTCAATTAACAATAAGTCCGTACTTCTTGATGCCACATATGAAGTTCTGGGCTAGACAAAATTTCTGTACTAGAATCTGAAACATGATTTTGATGCTTTGTTTTTCCATAAAAACAACGGATTCATTAGCGGAATACATTACCACATTGAGGATGTCAGAGGTATCTCCAAGGTTTCTGTGATTACTTTCATCATCTGAATCGTCCTCTTCAGAGCCTTCATGGAGTTTATCTTTTTGATGATTCTTTCCTTTAAGATAAAATAGGGAAGGTAAACAAATATCATAGGAATAAGTGATACACAGCAAACAGAACATCCCATCCTTCTATGATAAAGGGATTATTTCTACCTTACTATAATATGATTAACGCAATGTGATTCCTCATTTCCCCAACCTAATTCAAAGCAGAAACACTTCACTTGCTTTTCACCAGTTTATATTAATATTAGAAGTAGTTCAAAAGTCTATCTAGTCTCTGTGCACTGTATTGTCTGACCACTTTTGTAGTCCTTCAGTGCATAAATATTCCAGGGAACAAAGCTCCATTTGGATAATCTTTTCAATAATACAGTACCAATTACACCTTATTAGCTGCACTCATTATTTTCTTTTTCGGCTATGTACTCTCAGCTTTTATGCATGTACTCTGTCAGAGCCTCATGAAGTAAGACTTCATGTTGTTTCATGTTTCGGGGTCTTGTTTCATGTTCAAATTGAGTATTTATGAATGATGAAAGCCAAACTACCTAATTCTCACAGGAGACTGGCCAAAATGCAGAGACATTTTACCTGCTTCATGGTGCAACTCTATAGGCTTAACTTCAGGAAGATCAGTTGCAGAAAAATAGGGTAGGCTGGTGTTGCTAGTCACATGTAATGAAGATTTTAAAAAGTTTTCTCCCAATGGAGGCAGGGTGTGTATCATTCTTATGAACTGTTCTGGTGATCCTTCCTTTAGAAGATTAACAAAAAATCGAGCAAATTATTAGGAACAGAAGTAAAGATTAAACTATAAGCAACCTCTCATTCGCAGCAGAGGCATTTTCCTCTAGTTGATGCTATGAACAAAATTTCTTGCACATTTTGCTTGTCTATAGTCCTAGAAAGTGGAGGGGTATATGATGAGGTATTTTACATAGTCTCTATACAACAATCATCGTATTGAGTCTTAAAATATAGACAAAGAAGGAGAAAAAGCAGCTTTGATTTTTGCTTAGAATAAAAATACTAGTTTCTGAAAAAGCATCTAGGTAATTAATCCATAGCATCACGATCTTCTACAAAACAGGCAAATTCATCTCTTGTGTTTTTGTGGTAGTTACCTTACCTTTTCACACAGGTAACTGAGATGATCTCTGTACTGCTCAAGGAAATCACAGGGAATATATGCATGAAAGTAAAGGATAAGAAATTACTGTTCTAAGTACCTGTATAGTCTTAGGATCATTTAAAGTTGACTGAAACTTCTCTCTTTGATGTCTTCTAAACTGTAAACCAGCTCAATCTATTCAAAGACTCAGAGGGACCCCCAAAAAGAGTTAGGTTTCATAAAATAAAATAAAATAAAATAAAATAAAATAAAATAAAATAAAATGAACAAGCTATATAATTTAGAATTGAAAACAACAAGAAATAGAGTCTTTTTCACAGAACTGAAAACAAACAAAAAAGTCTTTTTCATACATCATGAACAAATATATCTGGACTGATATCTATTTCTTTCCCTGCATGAATTATGGGAGGGATCCCTTCTCATTTTTACACATTGAAACTAAGCATTTATTTTGAGGAGAGCTTTTTATCTGCTGGGTATGTGGTGTGATTATAAAGGGAATTTCTTTTTTCACAAAAACATATGGCAACTCTAAACAGCTCTGACTACCTTTGCCCGACGTCGCATCCGTGCCGATAGTGTTTTTTGTAAGGTGCTTGTTGCTGATGACACTACGCTCATCCTGGAGGCAGCAGCAGTCAAATCGTTTGCGTGCACGTCTTCTATGAGGGTTTCTTCAGATCCTTTAGGCCTCGGAGCAGCAAAAACTAGCATGTGACAACCACCACACGCAACCTACAGCACAAAACCACAGCTCTGATTACTTCATAAGTAACAATGCAACCAGCTCATTGTCTATAATCATCTCTAGGGGCTTAAGCAAACAAAAAACGCTGAATGGGAAATTTTGCTTCAAGACTGTAGGAAGAAAGTAATACATATACACGATTACTGATGCTTAATAAGCTCTGTTCATTTTTTCTTACTTGTTAAAGTTGTTATTTTCTTAAGGAAAATTTAACAAATTATTGATATTTCCCCTGATTTTCAAAAGGATTGTAGCTCATTATTTTGACGCGAGTCAAATGTTAACAACACTGATCACTACAGAGACACAAATATCTTATCACAAAATCTACAGAAAGTAATACAAAACACTAATGCCATCCAGTAGATGAGGTATCATTATATGAAACCCATAGGTTTCAGAGTTTAAGAAGTTTCAGATTCTGAGTCATTTGTATTTTTGATACAGGCAATCTGGGATATTTTTCTGTGGTACTTTTAAAGATCCTCAGGAAACACATCAAAACAATGCCCTTAAAAGAAAAGACTAATCCTCTTTTCTCAACCTGCTTGGATTAAAAAAGTTTTTGTAAAGATTTTGTAAATACCTCACTGTATAATCATTAAAAATAAAATGATATCGCTCGGGAACCCCTTATATTCAGAACCGATATTAGTTCCCCCTTACAAATGTTTTATTTTATAGAATACTACCAGATCTATAAACCAAAACATAG